ACAGCCGTGCACCCCAAGCTCTCAGTGAAAGAAGGGACTGGGTCTGAGGGGACATGGGTGTATCAGTGTGAGATGTGCACACAGACCAACCCTTCCTCATCTGGTTTCCAGGGAAACCGTGTCACCCCTGCCCCAGCCCCGAGGCCCAGAAGCGCCCAGGCCCAGGCCCACCTCTGGGGCAGCTGCAGCCGCGCGTCACAGCCCAGGTACCTCTCCTTCACTAAGAAATGCATTTCCAACAACTTTGTACTAGTTTCTTAAGTGTTACATTTTCATTACAGAAACGTCAAAATACAAACACGATCTTTTTTTCCCCTAACAACACAATCTTAAAAGCCCTCACTTTTCAGCACCGAGACATAGTTGCCCATAACACTTCGTTGTTTCTTGCTGTTTATGGAAATCATAAAGTATATCATGCATACGCTCTATAGCCTTACCCATGGATCCGCTGCCTCCTGCACGCCCCACACTGGGGATCGAGCCTGCAACCAGGCCTGTGCCCCGACCGGGAATGGAACCGTGACCCCCTGGTTCATAGGTCGGCGCTCAGCCCCTGAGCCGCGCGGCCGGCCGGTTCCTGTCTTTACCACGAAGCGCTGTGCGGTCCTGTCCCACCCTGACCTGTCGGACTCTGCGGATACTTGTCTCCCAGTGTGTGGCTGGTCTTCCCACTTTATTGTCAGTGAATTACAATTAGGGCTGGCAGGTGGCAGGTGGCCGGCGGCCTTTTGTGCCGGGAGGCGAAGCTGCTGGGGGAGCACGAGGTGGGGCTGAGCCATCAGCGGGCGCAGGAGGGCGCAGAGCCGCAGGGGGAGGCTGGGCCCGTCCCTGCTGTGGGCGCTGCGCGTGCCTCCCTTCTGGCTGACGCCGCGCAGATAAATCCCTCCTGCCGGCCGTTTGGGGACTTTCTTCCTCACCTCGCAGGGCAGCTCAGTGACATGCCCCTCGGGGACCAGACCCTGAGCCCCTTTCACGTGCATTTCCCTGCAGGACGCTAGGAGCGTGCAGCAGGAGGCTTCCTCCGAATTCTCGGGGGAGAGCCAGGCCCGGGGGGCGCCCGTCCGCAGACACGGTGCCCGGCAAGGCTGCGCGGGAGCCACGGGGAGGCCAGGGCAGGTACGTGGGTCTGGGGTGTGCGCGTCTCAGGCGCAGCGCTTGCTGTCACCGGAGCGGCCGTGGCTCTGAGTGGCAGTCCTTGCGGCGCGGGTCCTCGTTTGGGGGTGGTGAGCTGTAGGGCAGGAGAGCGTGCCCAGTCAGAGCGCTGGGTGGGGCTGGACCCCGGGGCCCCCAGCAGCCCTGTCTGTTCGCCCGCGGTAGAGTGGGTAGAGTGGGGCCCCAACAGGTGCCTTCCCTCCAGACCGCCCCATGCCCAGTGCGCAGAGGGACCGCGGCCACAGCACTGCTGCCTCCGGGCCCCCTCCTGGCCCTCGAGGTCTCCCCACAAGGCCTGTCTGCGGGCTGTGCCCACTGCCTTGTCACCCGGCGAAGGGGAACGGGGAGCCGTTGTCTCCTCTGGGCTGGAGGTGGGCCCTGGAGGACGAGCCTTTGTTCTACCCTCTAGAAGCAGCACAGACTCCCCACAGCGGCCTGCACGCCGGCTCGTCAGAAGGAGAACCGGTCCCCAAGGCCACAGGCCCAGGGAGCCGGCCAG